CCGTCGCCATCAACGCCAACGCCCGTCTTTACTCAGATGGGCGGGTCGGTCGACCTTGGCAGTTCGACCCACGCTGACGGTACGCCAACCGGTGTCAGAATCGTCACTTGGATGTCTCCGTCGCTGTCGCTTTCGCCAGGCGTTCCGTCGGGCGTCGTGTTGATCTCCCTTCCTCCGCTGTTACTGGTACCTGCTATTGGCACTGGATATCTCCTGCCTTCCAACCGCGCCAAGCTTCAACAAGAGAGACACGAACCACCCAAGCATCGCCAACCCGTCTCACAAACCATGCCATCGCATCATCTGTCCATCGCCATTCCCCCGCGCAGAGACGGGACACGTACTGCTACCAGCACCATGCGTCGTTGCAGACTGCAGACGCTGCAGCTTTGCTTGGCTTCGCTACAAACCACCAGCCAGAACTCACAATTTGCCGCTTCATCGCCCAGCCAGAGGAAAGCTGGGCAAAGGCTGGGCAGGCTCGGCAACCTGGGCGGTCTTGGCTGCAGATACCAAGCACCTTCAGCTTGTATTCTGCGGCACGGTGACAGGGCACCTTACGCGATGCTTTGCATCCCCAGTTTGACTCTGGACTAAGGACGGACAATCTGGCCAGTCTCGCGGTCCTTGAGTCTCTTACCTTGTTGCGGCCGCCGACTCGACTTGCGATTGAGGCTGTGCAAGTATGCCAAGACCTACGAGGAAGGTCGGTTTCGACTTGGGTTCAACCTTCGCCCGTTTAGTTCGGCCTTCAGGGGGGGACCACCACCGCCGCCTCGCCAGTCAGCATACATGCAATCAAAACGAGGCCTATAATCAGTCTTGGCACTGCGAGCTCTCTCCATGTCTGGCCGCCACTTACATTTCATTTGCGCGATTTGTGAGTTTGTTTGGGCCGTCTCAACCTCGAAGCCCCGATCCCCGTCAATCATCACTTTGACTTCTTCTATCCGCATTGGTCGGTGTTTGTCCCACGTTGGATGCCTCCTTGCGCTCACCACCACGGCAGTCTCTAGTCGCTGACAAGACCCCGAGAATTTAAGGTTCAAGTACACTCCTTGTGCAGGACGAGCATGTCATTGGCTACTCTGTACGCCGCGGGATTGCTCGCCACAGCCTGGCATGCCATCCTGCGGAATCATACCAAGCTTTCAAGTTGAGGTCTAGGCGAAGTGAAGGGACAAGCACGCACCCGCCCTCGTGCTCCGTGGCAACACCATTTGCGTCGATACAATCACCTGGTGACTGGCAGTTCCTGTCCGGCACAGCATCGACAGCCACCTCACATAGACTGGAACTCGCCGCGTTTGGTCGCAGTCATTCCGGGCGCTCATCAGGCCATCGTTTGCTGCCCCAGACGATCGCGACGGACCCCGGCAGTTTAAGCACGGGATGGGCCACCGAAAGCCCAAATGCGGAGGTTCGAATGGGGTGGCACATGTTCGGACGCCAGGCCGAACTTAGGAAGGACTCTGCAGGCGGTGCTGGCAGACCAAGAGGGGGATCACCGCATTGCTGGCTCGGCGGGAGCAAGCCAAGATGCCAGTAGGGATTATTGCGCTGTGGGTTCTGCTCCATTTTCATGGAACCCATGCGCTCTTGGCCTTCTCTCACGAGCTCCAGGCTTTCGAAGACTCTTTCCAAGAAGAGCCAATCCCAGACTGTGAGGTGGGCAGGCAAGGAACGCGCTGTGCATTTGCCCTTGGAAATCTCTCGGCGTCTTGGTCTTCTTGGTCCGTCAGCCTGAGGCTTGAGCGGCTTGGACTCTTGGATTACATCAAGTCTCGGCGCCAATTGGTTCTGGTGGGTTGGCGGGGAGGCCAAGCATCTCATTTCATCCTCCCTTCGGTGCAAATGCTCGGGCACACATCTGCAATAGGAGAGGGTTGAGAGAATGTGGTCACAATTGGTACTGACATGTGTTGTACAGGAGACACGCGATCATGGCGCAACCCTCCGAAAACACTCGAGAAACTCATGCGATCCGCAAGATGTCGACGGAGCTTGCAACTCAAAAGCGGCACAGCCTTGGTCAAGGTCTTGGCTTCATCTTGGCCGGATGAATGTGACAGTCATGAAGAGGAAATCTGGGATCTCTGGAGACTGAAACGGAGAGCGCACTCCGGCACCCGGACCCGACCCTGCCGGCAGACCAGAGCGGATGAACGTCAAGCAATGGGCCGTGCTGTCAATCGGCGATTACCCGCCCTACCGAGCAACCTCGACGACTTGTCTTGCTTGGCGTTTGTCTACCGACCGATAACCTCGACATTCAGCATTGCCAGCTGGGTCGCCAAGGCCTCACTACCATCCAGTCGTCCTACCGCCTCGTATCTTTGGAGGTCCAGTTTTCCCACCTGAGACTTGGTCTAATGCCCGTCGTTACGCCAGCAAGTTGCTGCAGCTAACGTTCGACGATGGCCTCAGAGGTCAACTCGATGGTCGCATTGTTCCTGCGCATTCAACTACTATTGACCAAAAATACTGGTCTCTGGAACAGTTGATGATTCCGTAGGCCTGCGAATGTCGCACAGGGTCATGTTGGCCTTTCCCAGTGGTCCAGTGACACGACGAAAGGACAGCTCCACTTGCAGAAAATAGCTGTAACCTCGAACCCCTTTCTTCTATCGCGGATTTTTGTTTGTTTCCAATTTCCGTTTCCAGCTATTTTTGTTTCTCATCGTCTCCATTCGAGCAGCTGCGATCAACTCTCTGAAATGACCCGGGGGCTCACACCCCATGAGACGCCAAGCATTTGGAGTTGCTTCGCTTTTCTATCGTCCAGCAGGCCTTCTTGCAGGTCTCCGCACCTGCATTACTGAAATTCCCTCAACGAGTGAGGTCAATTTGATCTGCGAGCATGTCGAATCTGGGTTATTCATGGGATCTGCATTCTCCAGGGCCGCCAGCTGGTCTCCCTTGTGCGCCCTGCGTGCTTTTGCGTGAGGCCTCCTGATCAATGACGGTCTTGCCAGAAGACTCAGTGGTGCGCAATTTGCAGGAGAAGGGGAGAAGAAGTGCGATAGTACCAGTAATGGACTCCGGCTCGCTGTTAGTATTGCTCGGGTGGCGAGGCTTGCCTCAGAGTCGACCGCCGTCTGGAGATGACATTCTTGTCGTGGAGGATACTTATTCAAGCCCCGCTTGAGAGGCCGTCCACTTGGCAAGTCTTGAGGAGGACAATGTGTCCTAAATATTAGCACTTCGCGCTATCCCTTCTGCATTGCTGGCCAGTCTTGATCGCAGCTTCGAACAGGAGCACCTTGGCCTTACCACATTCAATCATTTTGGGTCGCTTGCCTAGCTGGACGAGGATAGTGACCTACCAAACACCGGTGACCTTGTGCGGCCGTCTCTTTGTACATGGGACCTGGCTCTCTCCGTATTCTCGAACTGAGGCTATCATCGTCATCCCTTCTCTCTGACTGGCCTCCAACCTAGTGTTCTCGCCCGACGCGTCCGCAACCTCGAGGCGATATTCATCCTGTCTCTAGAACCGTTACGATCCCGATGTACTGCCCCCAAAGTCAATTCAAGACGATGACCAAAGTCAACAGCACATCGTACCTGTGATGTCGCACTCAGAATCCCCCGGGAACAGCTCTCTCTCCGGGGAGGTCGCACAGCCATGCCGCATACCTTGGTTTGGTGCCCGTGTACGACTGAAGCCATCCTCTATGCCACGATTCTTGATGTTTTTGGGAGGTATGCCGTCAATCAAGAAACTCAGCAACTCTTTTTTCGAAGCTCTTCGATCGCGAGTTCTCGTCTTTCAAGCGTCGCCTTCGTCCTCCCTGGGAACATTCTGCCCCGCTGCCACCCCGAGCCCCGCCTACCGGACATCCAAATGAGCACAGCGGCAGTCCGTGTCTCCTTTGGCCTTTGAACACCACATATCTTTGAACGCACGTCGAACGACAACCGCGGTATGCGCAAGGCCCCGATATCACCTTGGTCTCTCGATCGATCCTCTCCTTCATAGAAACCCACGCCCCCGACAGGCTGCCCAGGACGCAGGGCGGTGACGAGACTGGCCGATATTGGAGATATCCTTCCTTCGAACGACGATTGAACCCGTCTGGCATAGAGGCACTGTTGGCGATGGCATTCGAGGCGCAGTCCGGAAGTTCTGATGTCTCCAATGCTCGACGGACGAAAAGGATTGCGCGCAAGACTTGCCAGACGGATGAGATTCACTCCGGCAGGAGAGTGTCACGGCCCGGACCACCTTGCGTGTCCAGCATTACTCTGCGCTGGTGGAGGAAGAAGAGAACTGACTTACATGTCCCGCCAGACGAATATCGCGCCGGTATCCCTTCGTTGCTGACGTCGTCGCCGCATGAAGCTGCTTGGTCAAAGAGGACTTGTCGGCCCTATCTGCGCGATCCATGAGTTGTAGACGGGTGGAGCGCTTTAGCCAGTCTTCTCATGCTCAGAGGAAAGACGATGGAACCTACTCTGATGGCTTTGGTAATATAGCCGCGGCCTGGACAGTTTCGTACTGACGTATGTGCCGCTGTGTCTCGATTGCCGTATCAGCAGAAGGCCCTCTCAGCCCTGGACTTGCCTGTCACTCGTCGCCTCCTTGAAAACCTCCGCGGACATAGGTAGGAATCTTTTTCAAACATCTCGTCAACATCCCACAGTCCCGTTTTCTTGCTTTCGTCTTGACAGTTGACCGTCTACCTACCTGCTGTGCTCGTAGTCGGCGTTGGAAACCCAATGCTCACCGAGCAAGCATGATTAAGTACTGCGCGTTAATGTTGATTGTTTTACCGACTTCCATCAATGGCCCCTGTGTCATTCAAGCTATGACATGGTCGAAATCATACGACAAGCCACTCAGACACATACTTTTCCTTCAGAACAATCACACGAGCACATCACGATGTGCGGCCGGTATGGTATAGGACAGCTAATAATTTTCTTAATACCAGGTAACGCGTCAAATCTGATCCTCCTCTTTTATCTTCGTAGAACTCAAGGACCCAACCCCCTCTCTAAAGCACATACCGGAAGCTAGGCTGCTCAAAGTCCGTCAAATCCAAGAACTCGGTCCCCGTCGCGACGGTCTCGGGCTGCTCAGCCGCCTTCTTATCGCGCCGCTTGTTCTCCCAGATGTTGACGAGCCGGATCGCGACGATAGTGCACGCCGCGAGACCGTACATGATGGCGACCATCAGCTTGCCGTTCTTGTAGTTGGGCGCCTCGTTGGAGCGGAAGGTCTGCGGGCCGATCCAGTTGCCGGCGCCGTAGGCCAGGATCTGCAGGCCGTTGACGGTGGCCTTCTTGGTGTAGCCCAGCGTGTTGTTGGAGATCATGACCATGATCAGGCACCAGCTCGCGCCGGCCGCGCCGATGGAGTAGTACCCCACGAGCAGGCCGGCTTGGTTCGTTAGCGGGAGGGCGATCATGAGGATGCCGCCGACCATGGGGATCAGGATGGCTATGAAGGCGAAGAGGGTGCGGTCGAGGAGGCGGTCGGAGAGGTAGGTGAAGAGGAGTTTGCAGGTGATGTCGACGACGCCGGTGGGCATGTTCAGCAGCAGGGACAGGCGTGAGTTGAAGCCGAAAGAGTTGATGATGATGGAGCCGAAGGCGGTGATGCCGCCGTTGGGGATGTTCATGAGCAGCGAGAAGAGCACATAGAGGTACGTGCGGGGGTCGCGGAAGGCCTCGAAGAACTGGTCCCACTTCCACTTGCGGCTGCCGATGCCCTGGAAGTTGCCGCGGATGCGCTCGATGGAGATTGCCTTTTCGCGGTGGGTGAGGAAGCGGGCGTTGGTCTGGTTGTCGGGCATGAACCACCAGCAGTAGACGCCGGTGATGACGGTGGGGAGGCCGAGGACGAGGTAGAGGACCTTCCAGGTCGCGAGGACGGTGTTGTGGGCCCCGGAGAGGCCGTAGGCGACGGGGCCGAGGGTCAGTAGGGCGACGCCGTTGCAGGAGAGCCAGTAGCCCATGCGCTTGGCCTGCTCGTTCTGCTTGTACCAGGCCGAGGTGAGGATGACGAAGGCCGGGGTGACGGTTGCTTCGAGGGCGCCGAGGAAGAAGCGGACGGAGAGGAGGCCGGCGTAGTTGAAGGCGAAGATGTGGCAGACGAGGACGAGGCCCCAGAGGGTGATGTTGGCAGAGGTGTACTTGCCGAGAGGCAGGGCTCGGAGGAGGTAGGTTGTTGGGAATCTTGAGTGAGTCAGCAAATTGCACGATGTCATTCGACATTCTCTTTGTGTACTTACTCCCAGAGAATGTAACCGGCATAGAAAATGCTCGATGCCCAGCTGTACTGCTGGCTGTGGGGGTCTAGGCCGGTGTCCTCGCGGATGCCCATCAGCGAGGCATAGTTGAGGGATGTCTTGTCGGCGAACTGCAACGCGTAGATCCAGCAGAGTAGGGGCATCAAGGCCCAGTCGATCTTTCGAAGGACAGCGGCCTCCTCTTCAGGGGTAAATTGGACCTGTTCGCCATTGACGAAGGCGAGGGCAGGGTCGACTTCGCCGTGCTTGAGCTTCTCGATGCTGCCATCTTCCAAGTCGGTGTGAGTCCGGATGACGTCGCCGCCATCTGGGTTGGCTGTCTTGTCCTTGTTGTTGGACGACATTATGAAGGGTATTACGTGAAGGCTGGATGAGGATGCGGGATATTCCACCTTTTCGTAAAAGTTTGATTCGGTGATTGATGCTTCCTTGGACTCGAAGAGATGAAGACCCAAGGACAGGATGTAAGTTTCCTGAGTGAAGCAATTGGAAGACCGACGTTGTAAAAGCCCAGCTCAACTCCTTTGAGACAGAACGTGGCAGCTCGAGTCCAGGTTGGAAGCCGTCAGGGAGGCTCGGAGTTTATACGTGTCCCGTCAGTCGGGAAACAGTCACGGTCAAGGCATACCTTTCATCTTGACGCGGACGGGCTGATCACAGTGCATCCGGCAAGGGCTCTCACTCTCTGTGCCTACCCAGGAAGTTGGAATCCATGACTAGATGTCAATGGTTGGCTATCGCGTTAGTCTGGGGCAATGATAGGAGATTTCTGTTTTAGTCTTGGTGCTATCTCCGGGTCCATAGTGTCGAATGCGCGTCGACGGAGCTCCGCCCCCGCATTTTGGGACGTCGCCTCGGCCAACTCTCCGCATTCTTGGGGAGGTGACTGGGATCCCCTATCCTTGTAGATTGCAGCGGAAAGGGGAGCTGTGCATGTGTACATGACTAAAGATATCTTGTCGGTTGAATGGGGTGAAGAAGCTGCCCGAGTGCCGGGTGTAATTATTGATAGTCTCCGACATACAGGCATAGACAAAGGACATAGTTGAGGTTGACTCTCGGACAAGGCCTCCGAAGACTATGATAACATATCCTTCAAGATTAACTCAGCTTGATTTGTTGGGATGGTGGTCTTTTCCACTATTTAGTCGATGTTCCGTTGCCAAGAGAGTCAATTCATTGTCAAAGTTGCAGACTCGGACAGCAATCTTCCAGAATACACAATGACTCTTCGCTTTTCAATTTGACTGTCTGCTATTCTCGTTCCAAAAAGGCAACCCAGCCTCAAGCCGAGCTGCACCGTATACAGACGAGCTATCCAAAGAGTCCCCAGCAAACTCTCGCGCAGCCTCCATGCGGGCTAAAGCCGTCTCAATCGTCGGGATCCGAGTTCCATTCTCCTTGGCAATCCTGATCGCGTGGCCTGCGTCTTTAGTTGCAAGGGTCACGGCAAACCCCGGAGGAGTACCCAATGGCGGCGCATACGCCCCTGTAGTCATGCGCTTGGAGTAGCTCTCGATGACAGGGCCGTACATGTCACTGATAAACTGCTCCATCTGGTGGGTGCCCAGCCCCGTCTTCTCTGCAAAGACTTGAGCCTCTGCTGTCAGCTCCTGAAAGCCAATGACGAAGATGTTACTGTTGTTGAACTTTGGCATTAGCGGCAATCTTTGTCCAAGAATGATAGACATTTCACTCACCCAGATATCTTGAGAAGACTCGACTTGCGGACATCTTCGCCCATGTCGATAATGCTCCTTCCCATGACATCAATAACGTACGGGCGTACCTTCTCCAAAGCTGCGGGTGGTCCAGCCATGGCAAAGATAAGCTTCCCAGCAGCCGCCATCGGGCTGGCGCCGAATACGGGCGAGGAGATGAAAAAGGCACCAGCCTTAGCAAGACGTTCGGAGCATCTCGCCACGGTATCCGGGTGAACGGTTGATGTGTCCACAAATATCTTACCTTCCAACAAAGCGCCGCTCCAAGTACTCAATGCTTTTGAGATCAGGCTCTCCAGGACTTCATCGTTGGAGATCTTTGAAGGGTCAGTTCAGGAAGCGGTCGTAGTAGACAGTGCGTAGTACCATTGTGAAGATAATTGTGGACTTGAGGACAAGCGTTTCAAAGTCCCGTTCCGGTAACCCTCCAACCTCTCGGAGGGCGTCGCCTCGGGACAGCGTCCGGTTGCTGTACCGAAGTGGCGGTAGACCATTGGCTGCAAGGTGGTTATGGAGGTTCAGCGCCATGCCGATACCCATGGACCCCAGGCCATACTAGATGATACGTGAGCATGGAGCAGTGATAAGAGCCAGGGCCTATGAGATTACCCATCCAAAACTCTCTGTTTCCGGCATCTTGCTTGGCGGTGGTCGATATCCACGGGGCTTGATTCTTATCGGATAACAAAACGAAGGCGATTCAGATATTCTGGTGGCTTAGACGAATGGAAAGTGTCTCGGCGGGTTCGGAATGTCACAGGTTGGTTGCAAGTGACCTCTTGATCGTCTCTTTGTAGTGCAAGATATACAGCTCAAGATTGCGGAGGCGGCGGCGGCGGAGCTCCGCTGGGCCCATCTCAGCGCGTCCCAATCCCCCTGACCTTGACCCCAGCGCGCTTCACTCCGCGCCCCTTAACTCGTAAGCCATGCCGCCAGCCGAGATAATCTCCTCCAACACCGTCGTCATGAAGGATCCCATGGACCACACCGGCCTATCCTTCCAGAACTGCAACACCGTCTCCATGAAGCGTGCCTCGCTGTCGTCCGAGGTCATTCCCAATGCGGTAGTCTCCCGAGCCGGCCTCGAGAGGCGTCGGGTCTGCGATTCGAGTTCCTCCGGAGAACTAATCACTTCCAGGATAGAGTTGAAGACTATTGTTGAGGCCTCGAAGCGGCTGCGAACTGTCGTTTGAGACCCTGCTTTTCGGCGCATCTCTCCGGTTGCCCAGCGCAGTAATCTCCAGATGGCTAGGAGGATTCTGTACGTGGCCACCGTAGCCCATGGTACCTCACGCAAGGGGTCTTGCTTATCGAGGTTCGTGACGCTGGAGAGAACATCCATGAGGTCGTCAAGGAAAACCAGCATGCCGTCGTCCCCGGAATTGTAGCGGAGAAGGTTTTGTAATGATCTTCGAGCGCCGACTTGAAGACCTAACGTGAGATGTGTGGCAGTCGTAAGGCCGGCTACCACACTGTTCTCAACGATGCCACCAATTAATAGGTCATCTGGCTTGCAGAGAGCGAGTTTCACAGACAGAGCTATCCGATCTGCAAACTTCAAGATGTGCCAGTTGGAGCTGTTTGCCTGTGCGAGCTGCGCTGTTATGATCTCAGCTGCGTATCGCAACGCTGCGCTGACCTGCCTGTTTTGTGATTGTGTGAGAATGTGGAAAGCATTTGGATCGGCCAGGGCGGGCGGCATTTGATAATAACACCTCGTAAACTCCCTGACGAGACTCTCCAAGCTAGTAAGAATGAAAATAGCTGCCATAGTGGAAGCCTTTAGTGCCGCTAATAATTGAGGACTTGGGGTATCAGTCATGAGCGATTGGATGGCCAAATTCAGTGATTTCGTCGTGGGGCACGGGATGCCGGACGCATCGCCTGACCGAGTCAAGTAGAGGGTACGGGGTTCATCACCGAGCCTCTGAGCCCAGCTCAATGAAGTATCCGCTTCCCACAGAGCACCAGGGAGGGGGAGCTCCCAGTCAAGCTCGATTGGTGTGGTCAGGGGGCGTATGTTGCAGGGGGAGAAGATATGGGAGTCTAGGAAAAGTATGGTGTACATGCAAAGCTTCATAGACTCAGACTCCACGTAGGACATCCAGTGGTCATGAAGCGTTTGCTCTTCGCCGTCATGGAATCTTGTAGTAGATGTGAAGACGCTTTGTCGTAAAAGACCCAAGTCTCGGGCGGCCTGATATTTTTAATGAAGTATTAGCCAATAAAGATTTTGCAGGCTGTGAATGAGAAAGGGGAACGAAGAGAGGCTACGTACATCCACCACCCAACGCAGCATCTTTTTTGCTTTATCAAAGTGGGTTGCATTGCCTGTGAAGGCGCCGTAGATGATGTGCAGAAGCCAGGCTTGCATGACCCACGTTCTTCGGATTTCTCTCCAGTCTGTCTCCACCTGCAACACATATCAATGTTGGATCATGAAATGTCGAGTGGTTGGCTTACTAGTCGCCAAAGTTCTTCTTGGCCGTCTTGCCACAAAGTTTGACTTCGCCGTAGCACAAAGTCTGCGTCTTCTTCAGAGGAATGTCTCGGCCTTGAATACAGAATACCAATGGCAACAAGAATCTGTTTTGACAATTTAGGCATGTCTCTCCTTACACTCTGGCGATGAAGCAGCGGAAATGACGGGTGAAAGCTTTCGAAATAAGCCGCAATGAAACTTTCTGAGTGATTCATCATAAATCTGTGTCGTCAATCTCAGTCAGCCTATATGCCCCAGTCAGAGGTAAGTGTTTCATTAAGACTTACTCTGATGAAAGTATGTCCTGAGACACGGTCCCTTCACCGGTTTCTTGCGAGCTATCATGATATGTCTCATCATTCATAGCAACGGTTGTGTCCACAGAAGCATTCGCTTCAGGCGAATCGTCCACGTCTGGACCGTTTGACGATAGTGCGGTCTCATCGACGACCGACTCCGTCTGCTCTGGCTCACCCTCTGCACCAGGTACCGTCAGGACGCGTCCGAAGGCGCCGCGACATCTCTCAGAGTGACGTTTACAGACGTCTTTCCTAGTGAATCGCGCGCGACATGTATAGCACTTAAATGGTCTGCGGCTGTCGCTTCCGTGCCCTGCCGATATTCAGTATCATCATGCAAGAAAAGGGGGTTACGAGTGGGACTCACTTGAGCGCTTGTGCCGTTCGAGATTTTCCTACGGAATCTATCAGTATGACTTTTCATTGGAAAAATTGGTAACTCACGTTTCGGGTAAAAGTTTGGGAGCATTCTGTGCAGGTGAACGGCCTAGAGAGCTCCATCTTGGGTGTGGATTTGGCGACGTGATGCAGAAGTAGACATTGATGGGGATCAGAGAAAGCGAATCAAAGATGCATAAGATCTGTGCGGAATGATCGGTTATGTTATTACACGAAAGTATACCCCGGTTGTTGCATATACCTACTTGTGCGTGCACATCCGTTGAAGCCAGCTGAGCGGAAGGGCAGTATATCTTACTTATCGAATGTGTAAATTGAGGAAATCATACTTGTGCAATTAGAAGGCTATAAAAACAAGCTAATATGCTGAACTGTCCGCCCTATCATTTCGCGATGGGGATAGATCTCAGTGCCCGAAACCGGGGTAGTTGTGAGTTTAAAGCGACCGTCAACGAGGGATTCAGATGAGGCCTCGAAGAATAGAATTGAAATAGCAAATGTTTCGCCGAAATCTCACAGTTTCCACTGAGGGATATGGCTCTCAGAAGGCAACCCAAATGACCAGGTGTTGCCGCTACTCAGCCGTGATATTGTCAGGGAGCTTGCCCTCAGGGAAAGCCCTGATCATTACACCTACGGCAGGGTCATCGAACGCCGTTGTCTGCCCCATGACCTTACCATTGAATGTGCAGAAATCCATGATCCTACCAGCACTTCGAGCAACCCCTGCACTATGTAGAGGTCAGCTTTCTGCATTTGCTGATCCAGCGTGTGATGCATGAGATTCTTACCAAGACGGAGCGTTTATAGACAGCTCATCAATTTTTCTCCATCCGATGATGAAGTCTGGCCCCGATTGGCAGTAGCTTGTGACCTGTTGTGTATAGCAAGGCTTGTTCCCGATCCGGGCTAAATGCTCAATGCAAAATACGACGTTGGAAACCTATTTAGGCTCAAGTCAGACTTTTTCTTTATTATTGATGAGTCGCGGGGTCTCTTACCACCGAAAGCTGTCTCGGATATGTGTTGCATTGGACGCCTTCAAGGCCAATCCCGACTGTTGAGGCCTCGTCGGTCTTCAAGCCCTTTTCGCCAGGCTTGGTGCTCTTGACAACTTTGCGAACCTGAAGCAGACTTCTCCTAAGAACTTTCAGGACAGGAGACTTCCTGCGTTGTAAGTCTGGCTGCTCGACGCCTTTCCCGCGACTCATTGGAGTCCGAATGGCGGCGGCGATAGCCTCGTCAGATGACAAGTGGGTTCCATTGGGATTTGTGCTGATGCCATCGATCCATGACTCGAATGAGAATAGGTCTTGCGAAGGACTTGATGGTGGGCTTGTTAGGAGAGCATTCGTTTTGCTTACATCTACCCTTGGCGCGGCGGTGACCATTGGGACGACTGCCAGGACGGCAAGCGCCAAATACAATGATTGAAACATTGCAGTCGGGATGAAGGTTAAAGTAGCGATAGGACTGGCTTGGTAAACGAGAGTGATGATGTGTAGGAGTTCCGCTGGTGTATGGCTGCACGTCCACGAATATTATATAAACACTTCCAGTTAAAAAAAGACTCTGAACCGAACTCAGCGGTATGTGCTTTTGCCTGTATTCAGCCCTTCCCTTTTCTCCCTTACCACAGTTGCTCTTTGACATCCCCATCCAACAACTTCGCAATTGGTCTGAGCAAAAAAGCAACTGCTCCATTGTCGACGAATGCAGCAGACTCGCCAAAATTTGCGTTGTTGAAAACATGCCATGCGTACAAAGAGTCCTCAAATTGACTACCACTAAATGGCCTTCGATCGTGTGGCCGACAGCTTTGGGTAAATGCTCCCTAATCATGTCACACAACGCTTAGACATCCGCCTACACGTGTGAGTTTAGCATTGTCTTGTCGGCTTTCGCAGTGGATAAAACGAAGGATTTGTGACAAAGAAGTTCTATCCTGACGAGGGGTCAGGAGAATGAGACATTCTTCTCCGTATCTATTTAGCATAGACTCGCTCGCATAAGACTAAACCATGAGTGATGAAGCGTACTGAAAGTCTTGGAGTTTAGAAGGAGATGAGTGGTGACATGCAATCATGAAGTAGACATCGATGCCAAATTCAAATTTAGCATGTCCTAACGAACACCAATTTCAGTGAAAATGGCAGAAAGGCTGGTCTGCCCAAGCCTTCCTAAATCTTTCGATTTAATCAGCTCATCAGTAGCCCAATAGCCTCTACTCCGCACTCAATTTCACGATTCAATCACTCATCTTCCTCCTACCTCAACTTCTGACATCTATGGTCTATTCAATGCCAGAGAAGGGACAGCGGCGTATCGTGTGATAAATAGAAAACTTAAAGCCAAGAAATAGTGTGCAACATTTTAGAAAAAAATTCAAAGCAAGCACGTCCTGCGAAAGTGACACGGGCGGCTTTTGTAGCATCGCCAACTGACTATCAGCAGAAAAGTTGAGTCTGTGTCTTGATGTCTCGAAATTGAGACTACTCCCCGAGAAACACCTACATCTTTCAGGATATGATTCTCCTCGTTTTGTGGCCTCTTGACGGCGAGATCTCTTCGGAGTGCATGCCTACGTAAATCATCTCGTTGAAGACTCTTCATTTTCGGTATGGTTCCGTGCTTTCACACGACTCAACATATTCCACATATTCCAAGTACGTCTTCTGTCTCTGTCATTTTGGTGTCATTACTACGTTACTACAGATTGACGATCCTCCGGAGCTGATATTCAAATGATTGCCTACAACATCCACCAATATACATGCCACTCAAGTACCTACATATTGAAGCAATCAGAGGGAAGCATGGTCAATGTCTGCCCAAGCTATCCCACAACTCAGGATGGGTCTATACTTATGCTCAATCAGATTTCGAAAGTGGCTCCTCACTCCACGCATCACGAATGCCGAGGACTGTTTCAGAAGCAGCGTCTCTGGTAAATGCTCCATATAAACAGAGTCAGACATGTCTTTGTCGATATCCGCAACGAAATGTGCGTAGGCATTGTACATCGTCAGCTCCTACAATCTACAACGGAGTTCATCCCAATTCTCGCTTAAGCAGTAGACGGCCGTGGGCTCAACAGTCTTCACCGCATGATCGGCTCGATCTCACCCCGCTCTATTGATTCCACATTATACGACGCAAGAAATGTTGAATACGTCGTGAGGGGACAAGTTATGAATCTAAGCAACCTCGCCTAGCTTTGACCTCGGTAGGTGGTCTTCCGTCAGCAAAGTGCCGGGGCCATATTACCTGCTAGCACGAGGAAGGAGGTGACCGTGGTCAGCGATATTTTTGTACGAAACGCAGGTAGAGTAATGATGACTTCTTTTTGAAGAGTTCTTGCCGTTAGTTCCAAACGTCGTGACGGTTCGACAGGTTGAGCTAATCGCTTTGGTCCTGGATGCGCAGACGCCTCGATTCCTAGAAAGTATTTGTTGCTACATGTAGCATAGTACCGCCAGAACACTGAGAACTCCTCGCTCACCCGTGTCATGTCGTTATTTGATTCTGGGCCTTCTGGGTTGAGGTTGGGTGACAGGTGAACCAATCGTCTGCTCGGCCGCTTCCCAACAACGGTGCATCACCGTTTTGAATCATCAACTAAGACCCTGTCCATAGTCTTCTCTTCTGCCACCCAATTACTCACGACTATTCTTTTGAATCAATACTCAATTCGCCCTCTGAAAAAGACAGTTGCCCAAAGAGAAAACTTCTCTAATCCCAGAAGTTGACCTTTCCATGTGGACCCGGGAAGAGATGCGTGATGTGATGGATAACCACGACGTTATTTGCCGGTGTGCACCTTGAAACTATGTTTAAGAGAAGGAAATAGTCAATCGAACGGCTTCGTTGCAGGGATCGTTCAGATCTCAATCCATCGACTCAGGGGGGCGGAACATCCCCCGCGATTCCCAATGATCGAGGCGATTGTGTCGCCTGACATGTTACACGTTCTATCGTACCAACAGAAAGGATACCAAGTCAGTACCGGAGTTGTCACTTGTGCTGCGAGTTGCCATGACAGCATCCGCATGTCGAACCACCATCACTGAGCACGTCCCGCTTCCTTCGGAGGCGGGCTCCATCGCCGACGACGTGTCTCGCTACCCCGCCCAACCACCCCTGTCCAACGTGGTCCTACAGATATTGTATTCCAAATACTAGGCCGAAAGGAGAGACTATTTTCTTCGGCTGTAGTCATTGTTGTGTCGTACATGGGTTGGTTGCCAAAGTGACTTGGCCCTGGCCAGGATCGGACTCGGTTCACTATATTCCGCTATTCAACAACAATGTGCGGGATTCTCTTTGCTTGAGTTAAAAGGTCGTTCGTGCTCGTCTAAAGAAAGATTTGGTCGTCGGGAGAAAGGTCCCTTCGCGGGTCAAGAAGCGGGGCAGCGTTATCTCATCGCGGAATGAACGACTATGTACCAGTGCATCGACATACCAGCCGGTCCATCATCACAGTAACGCGCCTAACCTACCATTGTCAGACCCTAGTAATGCAATCAAAAGCTCGCCGTCAGGAGACGCTTCGGTTGAATTCGATGTTACGCGAATAAGGTAGGCACTTGTCAACCTCGAAAACCACAACCTCCCAACTGTGAACAGCAATCTCAGATGAAACGTACAATCTGTTTCACAGAAGACTTTCAACTCGAACTCTACTACACGAATTTATTAGTGTCCGAGAACGTAAGAATATATGAGTTTATAGTTCTCCAACTCTTATTCCTCTCAGATACCCTCTCAGACAGCTTGCATGTATCCCCGGTGCCCAGGCTCAAGGTCCAATGAGGACTCTGATCAGCAGCTCGTCTCTTGGACTACATACACTTCCATGTTAAGTCCGAAAGCTATCTTGCTTTACAACTCGTACCATACGAAAGGACCAACCAGACTGACAGGTATGGACGGTCCTCGTCGGTGACCCGCGATTGACCTAGCCCATCCAGCACTGCGTCTCGGAGAATGTGGAAAACGCACATTTAGAACCAGAAAATAACACTTAAAAGGAGACTGAGTTTCAGACCAGAAGATAGATGCTAGAGGGGTGGCCCCGAATATGCCGAGAATGGACCAAATGCCAGCTCAACACAAAGATCAATACTATCCGACGCCGGGGGGGTCTCCAGGCCTGATTTTCCTTGTGATCGCTTCTTTTCGCTCGTTTCCCCACCCTTCTATTGCCCTTTTTGCTCTTCCACTCTTGTGGATTTTTTCTTCTTGTCTTTTTGCCATCTTCCACCCTCTCTGTCGTTAAAGTAGCGACAGTGGCCATTCCGCGCGCCTACCAAGGTCGAGATTTGGTGCTGCTGCCACGTCGGCCCCACAGTGGCCTGCGCCGCCGACCTCAATTGCTCCAAACGTCACAACGGGCACCTGCGACCACGTGGTAATTACCTTAAAAAACATGGGATGCAAGGCTTGATGTCATGTTCGCCAACATAGGAATCGCAATGAATAAGGCACATCGACGTCGGTGGAAGAAACAAGGTGCCATGGCGAAGGCTATGACCAGGGTCTCCGCCTTGCACAAGGACAGAAGAGAGTTGTCCCAAGCAGACGACGTCAAAACTAATGTGTGCAGGCAGCTATGGGGCCAAGGAAAACGTCCGCAATGACATCAGAAAACACGGGAAAAGTTGCAAGGGTTCAGTTTGTCATTGCAAGCCCGCAGCAATCAAGTTGTTCTCCATGCATGCCTATGGACTGGCAAACCATGGCGAGAGAAAGTGACAAGCGCGCATCATCTACAGCATGTCGGCAGTTGGGAAATGGGGGGGAAAAGCTGAGAGTCAACTTCGCAAGTTGTCGGAACCCGCCGTGCGGCCATGCTAGCCCAACAGGTTAAGTTGGCCCGAGTGGTCGGTGGCTAGCCACTTCGTCATGATGCAGACGCACTCTGCAAGCAATCACCGAGACTGTCTGTGTCTGCAGACAATATCGTTGGCTTCTTTCACGCGCCAACGCGCCGACGGTGTGGGCTTGCCAGCGAGTCCAGCGACAAACATGCTGCTTCATGGCAAGCCCTCTCAGAACTGGGCGGCACAATTGCGGGGCAGAATGCTTTGAAATTCGTAAAGGACCGACCTTACACGTTGACCAATTCGTCCCCTAAACTTGGAGCAAATTGTGCGGTATCACCGACTATCGATTGCACCAAGGCGCTCACGGCTACTTGGTCCACTAACCAGAGTATATAGGTTGAAGTGTAATGAAGGAGCACACTGGCCTCGGAACTCAAGATCTGGCTTAATGGTCGACGATCTAAAACGGGGTTTGTGCATACGGTCTGGTGTGAGAAAATGTCGCGACATTGAGGGCAGTTAGCAAGAGCAGCCGCTGGTAGTCCAGAGGCTGCCAAGGAGATGTGAAAGAGGCAAAGGATATTTCGCGATTCGATGTCGTGTATGCTTCCCTC